TCCCCCTATAATACGGGTATACTCTCCCTTGTATATACAAGGTCCTTGAGGAAAGTGTGCTCAGACTTAAATCCCCTGTGGCCAAAGGATACTTCCCAACTCTTGGTCCCATGAATCCTTTCTTCCGTTTGTGGAGTCCTCATGATCAGTTTCCTGTTAAGCATAGCTTTCCACTGGGGTCTTCAGATTGTTGCCTTTCTAGAGTTCAAAGTTGGCCGTTCTGTCCACTACAAGGGTTCTCATTCCCTGAAGCTATCACCATCTTTGGGTAACAGTCTTTGTTTATCTGAGTCTTTATCTATCTTATCTATCTGAGGCTGTCATCAGCCTCTACCATTCTGGTGGTCACTGCTACCATCTTTGGTCACCTATGGAACCTTCAATGAGACCACTGGCAGTTGGGCACTCCCATCTTGGAATACTCGTTCATCTAATATCCAGAAAGAATAAACCCAAAAGAAATAGATGTGCTATGTGAACATGGACCCATGGATGCCAAGTGAGGAGATGAGACAAGCTTCCCCTCCCCAACCTGGCACCTCCAAGTAATCCTTGTTCCCCTCACTGCCAGGAAGGAAAAGAAAGCAAGGTATAGGCAGATGTCATCTTTTGTACTTAATTCCAGTTCAGCACCTTGTGAGTTACCAAAGAACTGATGTTACTTGAAAGACTTTTTGACATCATACAGGAGCAACCACACTTAGCCATTATTGGTCAGAACAGATTTCCACATGTTGGATTGGAATCAGGGGAAAAAAGTCTATGAATGCTCTGTATAGTCCACCAGAAAGTGCAAACCTAAGCTTGGGCCCCCTTTTGTTACTGTTTAATCGTTTCAGTCATGTCCAACTCTGCGTGACCCTATTTGGGTTTTTCTTGGCAAAGATACTGGAGTGGTTTGCTGTTTCCTTCTCCAGCTCATTTTACAGATGGGAAAACCAAGGCAAGCAAGGTTAAGTGACTTGCCCAGGGCTACACACCTAGAAAGCTGTGGTCCCTCTACTACAATATAAATTGGAGTTAACTGCTGATGTAAGACACTAGAAGTGGGGGATGGTGATGGGGGTACAGACCAGCAATGGCCTCTTGGGGAAGGTGGGATTTGAGCTGAGTATTGATGGAATCCAGGAAAGCCAGAAGGTGGAAGTGAGGAAGGAGAACCCACTGGACATGGAGGACATAGCTAGGGGTACATAGTTGGGGGAATGGAGCATCCTGGTAGGCAAAACAAGGAGGCCAGTATCAGTGGGGTGTAAAATCCACACAGATAATAAGAAGACTGGAAAGGTAGGAAGGGGCAGGTTAGGAAGAAATTTATATTATACATATTTATATAATATATGTTATATATGTATTATATATATATATATATATATATATATATATATAAATATGTATCGGATCTTGGAGGAACCATTGTATCCTGGAGACCCACTGGAGTTGACTGAATGGGAGAGTGACATGGTCAGTCTTGGGCTTCAGAAGGGTCACTTTGGCAGCTGAATGGAGGACAGACTGGAGTGGGAGAGACTTAGGCCAGGGAATCCACCAGAAGGTTATTGGGCTAGTCTGGGTGTGAGGTGATGAGGGCCTGCACCAGGGTGGTCGCAATATGAGTGAAGAGACAGGGAGAGAACTCGCTCAGGCTTCCTCCCTCCCCATCAGCCCTTGGAGATGATGCTATTGGAGAGATATCATAATGGTAGAAATGATAAGATTTGGCAATACATTTTACATAAGGGCTAAGTGTGAATGAAGAGTTAAGGAAAATACTGAAGTTGTGAGCCTTGGGTGAATGGGGAGATTGTGGTGACCTCAATAGTAACAGAGAAGTTTGGAAGAGGGGAGGATTTTTTTTTTTTTTGGTGGGGAGAGAGGAGACAGTGAATTCTGTTTTCTGCCTGCTGAGCTTTTAATGTCTAGGAGTCATTGAGCTCAAAATATCTAATAGGTAGTTGGGATGTGAGACAAGTTCAGGAGAGAGGTTAGGGCTGGACAAATAGATTTGAGAATTCTCTGCAAAGAGATGATAATTGAATCGATGGAAGCTGATGAGATCACCAAGTGAAATAGTACAGAGGGCAGAAGAGAAGAGGGTCCAGGACAGAGCCTTGGGGCTGCCCACAGTTAGCTGGTATAACCTGGATGAAGTTATTCAGTGTGACCTGGATGGAGATCCAGACTAAGGAGTGGTCAAACAGATAGGAAAACCAGGAGAGGGAGCAGTGTCAAGAAAATCTAGAGAGAATTGTTTATCAAGGAGAGGAGGGTGGTGACAAAATGATGAGGTTGGAAACCAGGCTGCCCAGATTTAAGAGAAGAGTGAATGGAAAGGAATTGGAGGCCCTAGATGTAGATGGCCTTCTCAAGAATCTTAGCCACAAAAGGAAGGAGAGCTATGGAAGCATAGCTAATAGGATGATCAAGTAAGAGTTTTATGAGGATGACCTAGACATGTGTGTAGGCAGCAGGGAGGCAGCCCCTGGACAGGAAGAAATTGAAAGTAAGTGAGAGAGTAGGGATGTTAGAGGGGGCAATCTGCTGGTGAGGATGGGATGGAATGGGATCGATAGTGCTCTTAGAGACATTGACCTTGGCCAAGAGAAGGGCCACCTCTTCATGTGAGATGGGGTCAGGGGTGGGAGGAGGAGATACCTAACATTTGAAAGGATCAGAAAAGGGCATATGTAAGAGGTGGCGCTTTAGATGAGCCTTGAATGGAACTAGGGATTCCAAGAGAGAGAGAAGGAAGGAGGGAGAGCATTTCAGGCACTGGGACCAAGCCTCTGCAAAGACAGGAGATGGAATTCCATGTACCAGACCAGTTTGCCTGGACCACAGAGTGCAGGAAGGAGACTGGGAAGTGCATCTAAAGACTAACAAGACTTTTAATTTATTCTAGAGGCCACAGGGGACCCCTGAAGCTTCTTCAACAAGGACTGACATAATCAACTCTGCACCTTGGGAATATTCATTTGGCAGCCATGTGGAGGGTGAGTTGGAAAAGGGAGAGAGTGGACCAACAGGGGGCTCTTGCAGTAATCCAAAGGAGGGGTGAACTAGGGTGCTGGCTGTGTGAGTGGAGAGGATGGGACAAATGCAATAGTTAGGATAGAAAGGGCAACAGCTGACTGGATATGGGGGTGAGGGAGAGTGAACAGGCAAGACAGACGTCAGTACTATGCCCAAAGGGCTATAAAAATGTGCATACCCTTTGACCCAGCAATAGCACTTCTAGGGCTGTATCCCAAAGAGATCATCCAAATGGGAAAAAGACCCACATGGACAAAAATATTTATAGCAGCTCTTTTTGTGGTGGCAAAGATTTGGAAATTGAGAGGATGCCCATCAATTGGAGAATGGCTGAGCAAGTTGTGGTATATGAATGTAATGGAATACTATTGTGCTATAAGAAATGATGAGCAGGCTGACTTTGGAAAAACCTGGAAAGACTTGTATGGTCTGATGCTGAGTGAAGTGAGCAGAACCAGGAGAATGTTGTACACAGTAACAGCTTGTTGTTCGATGGCTAATATTGATAGACTTAACCCTTCTCAGCAGTACAAAGATCTAAGACATCTCCAAAGGCCTCATGATGGAAAATGCTTTCCACAAACAAGAAAGAACTATGGAGTTTGAATGCAGATCGAAGCATATTACTTGCCTTTTTTTTTCTTCTGTTGTGTTTTGTTTCCTCTTTCTGGTGGTTCCTCCTATTGGTTCTAATTCTTCCTTACAACATCACTAATATGAAAATATGTTTAATAGAAATGTATATGTATAGCCTATAACAGATTGGGGAGGGAGGTGAGTTGAGAGAGGGAGAAAAATTTGGAGCTCAGAAGCTTATGGAAGTGATTGTTGATAATTCAAAATAAATTAATTAAAAAAAATAGACAGATGTCAGTAACCTTAACGGAAACATGCAAGTTCCGAATAATGGTGGATTTAGGGGGAAGAGAATGAGTTCCCATTGGGATATTCTAGGGGACATTGAGGGGGGGGAGCGATAGGATCATCCGGGGGAGGGTCCAGGAGGCAGTTGGTACTGGAGCTCAGGAGAGAGATGAAGGCTGCGTGTGGAGATTTGAGAGTCACCTGCACAGATACGACAGTGGCGTATGAGCTCATGGAGAGAACTGTATGTAGAGAAAAAGGCCCAGGACAGGGTTCTGGAGGGGTAAACCCATGTAGAGTAGATGCATAGGGGATTAAAATCCAAGCCTCCATCCTTGCGTGAGCCCCCATCGCTGCTTCTGAGTGTTCGCCTTTTAAATCCTATTTTTCTAGGATCGCTGACTTTGGGTACGAGTTACCCTTTTTTCTGCTGCCAGATTTTGCTGACTCGGTACAACAGCGTAGGGATCCCCCCACCCACCCACCAGGACAAGAGCGCACAAGGGAACCTACTGGTCCCCGTGTGAGTGAGACGGAAGGAGAGCTGGAGCTGGTGCCACTGACTCTCGGTGTGACCTTGGGCAAGTTTCCCCGGCCTCAGTTTCCTCGTCTATAGAATGAGGGGGTTGCGTGAGATGGCCCCCTTCTCTGGCTCACTCCAACTCCACTTCTAATCTGGAGCGGTGACTTTCCTCCACCTTGCACCCGACCCATCCCCGAGCGGCCACCAGAGGGCTCCTGCTGGGTGCCGGGACTTCGGGGCTGATTTCCCCGCTGGGTCCTTTCCCCATCGCTCCTGGATGAGAAGCCCGGACACCTGGGTCCGCCCGCACCGGCCCGCAGAGGGCGCGCCGAGCCCTGCAGCATCTTCCCAGTCACCCCCCCGGGGGGTGGGGTAGAGGTGGGAAGGGAGGCAGCCCGGGCCGGGCCCCGCCGCGGGGCGGAGGCTACCTGGCTATAAAGCCCGGGAGAGCGCCCGGGCCGGCGCCGGCCAGGCAGGCAGCGCAGCGCACCGCGGCGCGCACACCCACTGCCTCTACGCTTGGAGATCCCCAGCACAGACCGAGACCCCCGGAGGCCCTGAGGTCCGGGGGTGCGGGGGGGTGGGCTTGCCCGAAGCCGCCCCCCAGGGGATGCTGGGCGCCGCCCCCTCCGTGAAGATGGAGGCGCACGAGTTGAGCGAGTGGAGCTACTTTCCAGAGGCTTCAGAGGTGGGAGCCCGACCCGTGGGGAGGCGGGGGCCGGAGCTAGAGGCAGGGACGGAGGCACCGGAGACCGGGACAGACCAACCGCGAGGAGTGGTCAGAGATCACCCGCAGGGAGAGATGCAAGGAAAGAACTAGCAGTTATTAAGTGCCTACTGTGTGCCGGGCACAGCGCTGAGCGCTTTACAAGCGCTCTCTCTCTCATATGATCTTGTACAGCCGGTCTTAGGGATTTCAGGGGTGAAGTGGGTGGGGATGCCTGGAGAGCTGAGAAATGGGGCTGAGGGAGCACAGACCAGTGACAGGGAAACTTCAGGGTTAGGGGGCTCAGAGATTAGGGATGGCAGACCTGAGGAAAGTAATATCCACGGTGGGAGAGCTGGGAAACTGGGGGAGATCAGAGCTGGGGGATGGTGGGAAGCTATAGAGATAGCCGGGAGCAGAGATAGGGTCCCTGAGTCTTCCACGACCTAATGGTGCTTAGCGATCCGAGGCTCAGAGGCGTCCCTCCTTCCCCCCTCCCTCAATGTTCTCATGAACATATTCAGAACATCTACTTGTGGGAACTGGTAGAGAGAAGTGGACAGCCCCAGTGGGGAGAGGAATCATCCCAGTCCCACACAGCCCCTGATTCTGGCCTGCACAGACCAGTCTGAACTTTCTTCCCAAAGTCTAACCCCTATCCTGCCTGCTTTCTTCCTGGAAGGGTTTGGTGGGGGAGACATATTATCGGGTCCCTCAGCTGGAGGGTATGGAGGGATGAGAAGAACCAGGGGTTTGGGGGGACCCAAACATGGGAGTCTATAACTTGCTTATGCTGCTGCTGGGGACCAGTAAACCGGAACTCTCAATTCGGTCAGGTAGGGCAGTGAGATGTGAGGGAGGGGGTGGGATGGGGCTCTGGGCCTGGATGTCTTTATCCTTGCCCCAGAGGCTGGGGTCTAGACTAAGTTCTGGGCCTGGGCTGTTCACCTAGAGAATCAGCCTCATGGCCACAAGGCGCTTGGAAACCTGCGTTTCTGATCTAGAGGGCTTTAGTATAAGACGGACTTACTTGGGGCCATGGAGAGCAGGTCTGCAAGGTTGGTGGAAGGGGAGGTTTGGGGTTTGAGACATCTGGATCAAGGGACACCGATCTCGAAACTTGGCGAAAGGAGGATGTTTATACATATAGGAGGAGGGGGACTCCTTGGATATGCCCAGCTTCCCAATTTAGGAGAGTGGCCTGGGGGAGGGAAGAGGGCTGGAAGTCAGGATGTTGGGGTCTCCCTTCCCAAGGGAAGGGAAGACTAAGGGGGTATATGTGTGTGTGTGTGTATGTTGGGGGGTGATGTTGGAAAAGCTGAGCCAAGCCCCAATCGTCAGGCAGGGATGGAGGGGGTTGAGCAGGAGGGTGGCTTCCAATGAAAGCCGGCTGTGTTATTGATTTTTTTTTCTTTCTGGGCAGCCCTTGTGGCTGGAGGGGGCGGCGGGTGCCCAGCCTGAAGGAGGGGGACTCCCCATTGGCCTTTGGTGGGAATATCCCAGCATCTGGTCCTCGAAGCCTGGGTCTCCTTTCCCAGGAATCTTAGGTATTGGGGACCCCCGCCAATCTGCTCCCTAAAGCTCAGAGTTGAGACGTGGCTGGGAGCCTATGCTTAGTTCTACCCTCTCCAGCTCGCTGAGTAGGAGGGAGACAAGCTCCCTGATCCTTCCTCCCCTGCCGCCAGCAGTGGGGGAGGGGAACTGGGAATGGGACACTGGAGCCTCCCTCCCTGGAGCTCAGGGTGTTGAGGAGACTAGGTCTCCTTCCCTTTCTCTGGGAGTCACAGTCAGCAAAGGGGAGCAAGAAGCTGGGACAGGAAGGTTCCCCTTCCCCTTCCCTTTCCCCTTTTGGGTCCTTAAAGTTTCAGGAAATAGGCAAGGTGGTTTTGGGAAGGGAGTACTCAGATTGGCAGGGGAGAAGTTTGGGGGTAGATACCTTCTGAGGGCATGTAGTTTGGAAGTAGCATTTACATAGAATTGAGGGGATACTTCATAGGGTGGCAGAATTGGATAGACAGAGTTTGGAATACAGAGTTCAGATAGATGCCATATGTAAAATGTTGTTTGGGGGCACAAGTTCGAAGGGATATTGTTGGGGCACAGGGTTCAGGAATGACCTCCAGAGCATTTTCTGAATCTAAATCCCATAACCTCCAAGACAGTGATTCTCCAAGTGTGGTCCAGGGACCCCTGTGGTTCTTCAAGACCTTTTCAGGAAGTCTGGGTCCATGAGGTTAAAACCATTTTTATAATAATACTAAGACCTTCTAATTTCTAATATGGTAAATATTGACAGCTCGGTATAACCCGAATTCACAAAAGCTCTTTGGGAGGAGGTACCCAATAGTTTTTCAGAGTATAGAGAGGTCTGGAGACCAAAAAGTTTGAGAACCACTATTCCAAGGGATTTGTTTTTTGAGGGAAAGATAATATTCTTGGGAGGATATAATTTAGAGGAGACAGAGTTTGGAGGAAGTTAAAGCTTGGGGGAAACAGGGACCTGAGAAGATACTTGTGAGAGATAGAATTTGAAGAGACATTATCATAGGAGTGTTACCTGGGAGGATATAGTCTGGGGGAATCGTAGTTTAGAGGGACAGAATTTGAGGAAGGATGTATCTACTTGGATATATCCTTGGTAGCTTGGAAGGATGTATCAACAGGGGACATAGATGAAGAGAAACAGAGAGCTATATGGCTCTCAGTGTTTTCCTTCATTGGAGAGCACAAAGTATGGAGAGCTGGTGCTATTTGGGGGACGACACATGCTTCGGTGGGTGATCTTCATAGGTCCTTCCAGCTCTGATATTCTAAAGCTAGATGGATTCGTTTGAAGGAGGAGACACCATGGGGGGGATATAGTTTATGGGAGAAGGTCCCTTCTTTTTTGGAGGGACCACAGCAGGAAAGACATGCAGACGAGGGAACACTACCAGAGGACTGTTTGGGGGAACAGAGTTTGGGCAGTGGACAGAAGCCATTGGGAGTATTTTGCGGGGACAGCTTGGGGGTTTAGGGAACTGAAAGAATTCTTCTGGGGGAGACAGTTTGATGGTGACAGACTTTGAAGGGATACTATTTGAGGAAGCCACGGGGGGGGGGGCAAGATACAGTCCCAGCAATAACATCTAGGGGATGCAGTTTGGAAGGAAGCACAAAGCTTAAAAGATGGTTTGTGGGGGACAGAATCTGAGGTCATACTGCAGTTTGGGGGACATAGTTTAGGGCAGACTTTATTGCAGAGGTTGCATATTGAGAAGGTGCTATCCGAGGCATTGTCAGGGAGGATAGTTTTATCTGGGAGGGGGTCTAATTTTGGATCTAGCTTTGGGGAGCTAATGTGGGTCCCAAGGACGCAGAGAGGACATAATGTCCCAGGGGTGGGGGGAGGGGGTAGAGGATAGCCACAGAAGCCCAGATTTGGAAGGGACCTCAAAGGCCACCTATCTAGCCTAACCCTTGTTATCCTGGGAGGACGCAGTTTGTAACACAAAGCCAGGGTTCCCATTAGGGGGGACCCAAAGAAGACCAGGTGGGTGGGCGTGGGGGAAAAAGGGGAGTATCTGGCTCTCAGCTTCCTAGACTTGGCTGGGCTGGGCTCCGGACCGCCAGGCCAAGGTAGGGTAGGCCACACCTGGGCTCCAGCAATGTGGCTCAGAGGGGGTGGGGATAGGGGCCCTTATCTGGCCCCTTATCGACCCAGGGACCCGCCCGAGCTGGACAAACACCCCCCACCCCCACTGCCTGCCCAGCACCTGGGCCTCCCATTCTGAGAACAGAGCAGGTCAGAGTTGGGAGGGACTTTAGAACAGAAAACAGAATATCACACCAGGGAGGGAGCTTAGAATTTGGAATATCAGATCTGAATGGGACCCTAGAATGGAGAATGGGACGAATCCTCTAGAATCATAAGATCATGCATTTTAAAGCTGTAAGGGACCTCTAATAAATCATTCAGTTTCTTCCCCTCATTTTACAGATGTGGAAACTGAGGTTGAGAGAAAGGTTAGGTGATTTGTGCAAGGTCACACAGCTTTTAACACCTTATGTAGTTTTCAAACCCAGGTCTTCTGGATTCTAAATCTAACATTCTATTTCCTTTACGCCATGTCTAGACTATAGAATGCCAGAGCTGAGAGGGCTCTTCGACCAAATCATTTCAGCTAAAATGACCCTTAGAATGTAGAGTGTAAGACAGAACATAGAAGGTCAGAAGCTTAGAGGCCACTCAGTCAGACTTTAGAGCCCAGAATATCAGGAGACATTTATAATAGAACACTTAGTCCAATCTACCTTCCCATTTCACAGATGGGGAAACAGGTTGAAATAGAGGAAAGAGCTCATCTTAAGTTACAAAGTGAGTCCAGGACACAGCTGGGCCTCCCAAATCCCTGCTCTCTGCTCTTTCTACCCTACCAAGCTGGGGAGAAAGAGAATGGGAAGGGGGGCTTCTCTCCTGAGTCACCCCAGCTCCAATGACCATGTACTGGCTAGATATTGGGGGTGGGGGAGTAGATCCTTGAGGAAAGTCTTTGTGTTTCCCATGGTCACTAGTGTGCTTTGCATAGGAGGGAAGTTTGGGGGGAGCCTAGGCATAACTATATCCAAGGGTCGTTGTCAACGAGGCTCAACTGTCAGGTTGGGGTGCAAGTGGGAGTCTGGCTGAAATGAGAGGCTCACTCTCACCTACCCAACGGGTAGGAGCACCCAGTCCCAGTACTCTAGTTTCATGTAGGATGACTCTGTGATCTGATGAAACCATTTCCTTGGTTCAAGAGTTGGAAGGTCCCCCATTAAGGCAATGCCCTCATCTTGCAGATGAGGAAAGAGCCCTTAGAACAGAAGGGACTTGCCCAAGGTCACAAAGCATGATAGGAGCCAAGCCAATACTCAAGCTCAAGGCTTCTGAACTTGGCTGTGGCTCTTTTTACTATTCCACAGCCACCTCTCAAGGTAGTGAGTTCTCTGACAATAAAAGGTATGAGACTTTGAGCTGGAGGGGATCTCACAGATGCCCCAGCCCAACTGTATTTTACCAAGAGGAAAGGAGTGACTTGCTACCCTGAGAGAACACTTATTAGCATGGAAAGGACCTTAGGCATCATCTGTGCCAGAAGTTCTTAATTTAGCAGTCTGTGGACCCCTAAAGGGTTTCATGGATAGATTTTGGGGGTCTGTGGGCTTGGATGGTTAAATAAAAAATCCATCTTTATTTTCACTCATTTCTAATTGAAATTTAGAATCTCCTTTAATTATTTAAAAACATGATTCCCATAAGGGGTGTGAGGGACTGTCTGAGCATATAGGTTTCACCAGACAGCCAAAGAGGTCTGTGCAGAGGTGTGTTGGTAAATGTTTTACAACCAGCTTTCCAAAAAAAAAAAATCTTTTTCAGGACACACTTTAAAGCTTAGTCTCTTTCTTTCTTTCTTTCTTTGGAGAGGTAAGTGTCAAGTCATTTGTCATTTGGAGCTAGTAAGTATCAAGTGCAGGGGTGGGGAGTCTTTGGCCTCGAGGCCACATGTGGCCCTCTAGGTCCTCAAGTGTGGCCCTTTGACTGAAACCAAACTTCACAGAACAAATCCCCTTAATAAAAGAATTTGTTCTGTAAAACTTGCACTCAGTCAAAAGGCTGCACTCAGGGACCTAGAAGGCCACATGTGGCCTCGAGGCCAAAGGTTCCTTACCCCTGGTCAAGTGTCTGGGGTCAGATTTGAACTCAGGTCCTCCTAACTCCAAGGCCAGTGCTCTATTCACTGCACCACCTAGCTGCCCTGAAGCTTACTCTTCATTATAATTTTCTCCATCACTTTCTTAAGTCTAAACAATCAGAAGAATAAGCCAGATTCTGATGTGTAGCATTTTCTGATTTTGGAGTGTTAAATGCTCACACGGAAAATCTGACAATCAGCTCTTGTGAGCCAGGTTTGAGCTGGCTCCAGCATGCTCTTGGATCCATGATAGAAGAACCCCTGACCTATCCTTTTATTTTACAACTTATTTCAATCCAGCCAACAATTATTAAGTTCCTCCTTTGTGCTGGGGAAACAAAGACAGAAACGAAACAGTCCCTGCCCTCAGGGAGCTTACATTCTTTTTTTTTGTGGAGAGGCAATTGGGGTTAAGTGACTTGCCCAAGGTCACACAGCTAGTACGTGTCAAGTGTTTGGTCTGAGGTCGGATTTGAACTCAGGTCCTCTGGACTTCAAGGCCGGTGCTCTATCCACTGCACCACCTCGCTGCCCCCGGGAGCTTACATTCTACTGGGAGTGAAATACACACAAGTTTTTTGATCTGCAGTATATACAAGGCCATGCTAATTGGTCTAAAAAGCATTACCAGCTGGAAGGACCAGTTCAGTCCCCTTCATCCAACAATAATTAAGCACCTACTGTATACCAGTTTGCTGTGACTACAAAGATGAAAAATTCAAAACCGGCCCCTGCCCTCAAGGAGCTTCCTGCAAAGGGTTTCTCATAGGACACAGGACCTTCAGAGCGGTGGAAAAGAGCAGGGAAAGCATGCTGGGCACGGGGGACAGCCATGTAATGCCAGTCACTGGGCACAGCTCCTTAGTACTAGAACAGAGAACCTGTGGAGGGGACTATGAGGAAATTAGATGGGAAAGGCAAGTGGGAGCCAGTTGGTGGAGGGCTTTCAATGCCAGGCTGAGGAATCTGTGTTTGATCATGGAGGCAATAGGGAGCCACTGAAAATATGTGAGGAAGGGAGTGAAAGGTGTCTGTGTGACCTGGTGAGAACAGAGATGGCGGATGGGCAGAATCAACAAGACCCAGCGACCAATTAGGAGCCAAAGAGAACTCCCAGGTTGCAAAACTAGGTCACTGAAAATGTACCCTCAGTAGGAGTAAGATGGGGAAACTGAGGCCCAGAGAAATGAAATGATTTGCCCAAGGTCACACAGCCAGCCATTGGCAGAGTCCTCTGACTGGGATGCCATTGTCATGGCAACACAGCCCTTCTCTTCATGGGTCATTCTGCATGCAGGCCCCCCTCCAGGTGTGCACACTTTTGTACACTTCTGTGGTAGAGAAGAGAGAAACATTGCCCTCAGCCACGTCAGAACACCCACGTGTCATCTCCCAGTGGGGAGTGGAAGGAAAAGGGGTGTCCTGGCCCTGTCCCAGCCCGGTTGTATTAACCACCTGGTCTGGACCAAATCGCTTCTCAAAGCTTCAGTTTCCTTTTCTGTAAAAAGGAAAAGGGGTGGGGGGTGTTTGACTAGATGACCACTAAGGTCTCTCCCAGCTCTAAATCCATCACTCTTATGATCTTTCCCTCTCTGGGCCTCAGTTTCCCCTTCCAAAAAATGTTCTCTTAGGCTCATATTGCCCTGAGGCTATATGAGCCACCCAGGTCCCTTCTTGCCCAAGACGTCTCAAGAACCCCTGATGGCTTATCAGATCACTGGGTTCAGGCTTCTTCTTCCTTCTCCCTGCCCCAGCCCTCAGGGAGAGGAGCAGGAAGAAGTTCCGGCCTGTGAGGAGGGTGGGTCCCCCTTCCCAAGTCCCTCCCCCAGGGCCCCACCCTGGGAGAAAGATCCGGCTCAGACCCGGACACCAGGGGTTCATCTCTCAGCCCTGGGGCGTGAGAAAGCCTTGAGGATTAGGGGAGCAGGGTGGTTCAAGGTTAGATGGGGCAGGACTACTGGTCTGGCCTCACCTGGAATGGGGTGGAGACAGGCTGAGCCCTAGAGCTATTTTAATGTGGAATAGATGATGAATTGGGGGGTCTGGGGGATGAGGGCTCGGGGACTGGGCCCTCTCTTACCCTTCCACGCCGTCCCCAACCCCGGTGCAATCATCGGCATCCCGAAGCACCGAGTATTCTGGGCGCTCTCCCTTCAGCTCCCCCCCCCCCCCCCCCCCCCCCCCCCCCCCCCCCCCCCC